CACATTTTTGCCAGTTTTCTTAACTGTTTTTTTTAGAGAAGAGAATTTTTGGAGGTGTTTACTCTGCCATTTTTGATGACACCATTCCTCTCCCCTTCCTTTTCAGGCTTTTATTTTCATGAATCTGTTGTTCTCTTCCTAATAGTGAAATTGCAGTTTGGATTAGGTCTGAATCTTAGAGTTTGCCAAAGCTTTTAATCTAGGACTTTTTCTTATACCCCAAGTTAGTCATGTAAGCACATACATTTCAGAGTAGTGCGGTGCACATATTCTTGGCCCCACTGTTTTATTGAAAGGAAGGAAGGAGGTTTGATTGAGACTAGCCATTCGGTAATCTCTGTCTTGCTCCCTCCCAGGTCTTCCCCTCCTCCCACCCACAGTGCCACTCCACTTGCAATGACAGTTTCCCAACCCAAGCTTCCCTCCTTTCTTTGCTAGTTAACTCTTTGTTCTTTCCTTTTTTTTTTTAAACTGAAGAATAACGGAAAGTACACATGTTTGTACATGTTTGTACTTTTTTTTTTTAAGATTTTTATTTATTGATTTGACAGAGAGAGATCACAAGTAGACAGAGAGGCAGGCAGAGAGAGAGAGAGGGAAGCAGGCTCCCTGCTGAGCAGAGAGCCCGATGCGGGACTCGATCCCAGGACCCTGAGATCATGACCTGAGCCGAAGGCAGCGGCTTAACCCACTGAGCCACCCAGGCGCCCATGTTTGTACTTTTTTATGTTTGATTTTTTACCTCCAAGTAAACATGCAGATGATCACCACCTTGGTTAGTCAGTAGCTACCCACAGTGCTGCAGATCTGCCCAGTAACCAGTGGGTCATTTTTCAGAAATAGCATATCAGACTTTTGTTCATCTATTCTAAAACATTTCTGGAGGCCAGTAGTATATATGTTTTCCTATTTCTCTTTTTTTATTGATACATAATACACATGCCATAAAATTTACCATTTTGGGGCTCCTGGGTGGCTCAGTCAGTTAAGCATCTGCCTTTGGCTCAGGTAATGATCCCAGTGTCCTGGGATTGAGCCCCACATCGGGCTCCTTGCTCAGCAGGGAGTTTGCTTCTCCCTCTCCTTCTGCTCCTCACCGCCCCCACCCCCACCGACTTGTGTGCCTGCTTACTCTCTCAAATAGATAAAACCTTTAAAAAAAATTACCATTTTAAAGTGTGAAATTCAGTGGGTTTTGTGTATTAACAAAATTGTATGACCATCACCACCATCTAATTCCAGAACATCCATATCACCCCAAGAAGAAACTCTGTGTTAACTAGCGGTCATTCCCCATTCCTTTCCTCTCCTCACCTCGTGGCAGTCATTAATCTACTTTTATCTGACTCAGTGGTTTTGCTTTATCTGAAGGTTTGATGTCAGTGGAGTCTCACATTATATGGCCTTCTGTGTCCGGCTTCTTTCATTTATCATGTATTTTCAAGGTTCATCTACAGTATCGCATTAATCAGTATTTCATTCCTTTTTATGGCTGAATAATGCTGTATGACTACACCACTTTTTTTTTTTAATCCATTTATCAGTTGATAGACATTTGGGTCGTTTGCATTTTTTGGCTGTTATGAATAATACCATGGACATTCATGTACAAGTTTTTCATTTATGATTGTATTTAGTTGTTACGTACAAGTTTTTATGTGAACCTATGTTTTCAGGTTTCTTGGGTACATACTTAGGAATGGAATGTTGGAGTCCTATGCCAACTCTCTTGAACATTTTGAGGAACTTCCAAACTGCTTTTCACAGTGGCTGTGTCATTTCACATTCCTACCAGCAATGTACGAGAGTTCCAGTTTCTCCACATTGTTGCCCACATTTATTTGGTTTTTTGTTTTGTCTTTATTACAGCTATCCTAGCATGTATGAAATGGTTTTGATTTGTATTTTCTTGATGACCCACCCTGTTGTGCATCTTTTCATTTGCTTTTAAGATTTATTTATTCATTTTGGAGGAAGAGAGGGAGAGAACATGCAGATAGGAGAGGGGAAGAGAGAGGGAGAGGAAGAAAATCTCAAGCAGAATCCCTGCTAAGCATGGAGCTTAATGCAGGGCTCAATCTCAGGACCCTGAGATTATGATCTGACCTGAAACCAAGAGTCACACTTACCCGGCTAAGCCCCCCAGGCGCTCCTTAATTAAGTTATTTTGTTGAATTGAATTTGTGTATTCTGGGTACCAGAACTTGAATAGTTGTATTGTTTTCCAATATATTTTTTAAAGATTTATTTATTTGAGAGAAAGAGCAAGCATGTGCGCACGTGTGCTAGCAGGGGGAGAGGGAGAGAGAATCTCGAGCAGGCTCCCCACTGAGTGCATAGCTCAGTGCGGGGTTCGATCCCAGGACCCTGAGATCATGACCTGAGCCAAAACCAAGAGTCCCATGCTTAACTGACTGAGTCACCCAGGTACCCCAGGTTTTCAAATATTTTTGTCCATACTATAGCTTGCCCCTTCCCCTTGATAGTGAACTTTGATGCACAAAATGTTTTTAATTTTTAAAAAATGATTTTATTTATTTATTTTTAGAGTAAGAGGATGAGCAGGGAGGGGGACAGAGGGCCAAGCAGACTTCTGCTGAGCATGGAGCCTGCCATAGGGCTCCATCCCGGGACCATGAGATCATGACCTGAGCTAAACTCAGATGCCCAAGCTACTGAGCCACCCAGGCACCCCAAAATATTTTTAATTCTGATGAAGTTCAATTCACCTATTTTTTGTTTGTTTGTACTTCGGATGCCGTATCTAAGAAACCATTGCCTAACCTAAGAGCACAAAGATTTTTTACCTGTGTTTTCTTCTGAGTCTCATAGTTTGAGTTCTTTCTTTTAAGTCTGATTCATTTTGAATTAATTTTTGCATATGATATAGGTAGGGGTCCACATTCATTTTTTGCATGTGGATATCTAGTTTTTCTAACACCATATATTGAAAAACTATTCTTTACCCACTGAGTGGTTTTGGCATCTTTGTCTAAAATCAGTTGACCATAACTGTATGGTATATCCTGGACTCTCATTTATATTTCTTGATTTGTGTATCTTTCATGATGCAATATGCCACTGATTATTACAGCTTTGTAGTAGATTTTCAAATCAGGAGCTGTGAGTCCTCCAGCATCTTTTTTTTTCTGGTATACATTTTGGCCATCATGGGTCCCTTGCATTACTGTATGAATTTTAGGATCAATTTGCCCATTTCCAATAAAAAAAGGTGGTTCACATTTTGATTTTGAATTTGTAAGTGAATTTGGTGACATAGTGTATTTTTAAGCATTATAAGTTTCATTCACATAAATTTTGGAAATACATAAAAGGAAGAAAAGTATGTTATGCTGCATTCTTTAAAATTAGGTCAGTATGTGGGTCTTACTCACTCTTTTAGGACCAACTAACATAGCGGTGAGAGTGGACTGTCAGGGCCAGAGGCAGCAGCGTGCAACACAGAAGAAGAAGGAGTGTTCCTCAGGACCGCTCCAGATTCTCAACGCTAGTCAGCTCAAGGCAATGGTTTTCTTTCACGAACTTCACACTTTCTGTATGAGCACTGTTCCTGTTAAGGTCTTCTGTTGTACAGCAGAATTTGTAAAGCTACATTGATTACAGTACAGTGTTTGGGTAGGGGTAGAGAAGATTTTGTTATTGTCATAAATTTGAAAAAATACCTTTTGGGGACAGATTTCTTACAAGTAGCCTTTTGATACGTTGTTTCACGAAAAGTTGATGAAATTCTTGTGAGTTAAGAGTCCCTTAAGTGCAGAACTGCCAACAACAGCCCGCTGAGTTGCATTTCCATGCTCCCTGGGTTAGGGTTACCACACTTTTAGAGTATGTGTTTTATCTCTCCCATCATGCTCTTTTAACCCCCCTGCTTTCCTGGGTTCCTTGTGCGATTATAGAGGCGTGGTAGGCGGCCATGATGGGTGACAACGTGTGACTTGCATTTTTTTTTTTTTTATCAAAAAGGAAGGTGGAAGGGAAGAAAACCTAGTTGTCAATAAGTAGGCCAGACTATATTCAGCTAGCACGTGGTTTGAAGTTCAATGTAGACTAAATATAACACTGAGTAAAATAGACTTGAACTCTTGTTATGTTTGGGAGAACAGAGAGTTCAGGCAAGTGGGAATCCTGACAGGAGCTCTGTGAGAAGAACCCCACTACTCCACTGTGGGAGGTATCACCAGCTATAACTGGAGCTGTCCAGATGTTGCTCTTGGCACCTGTCCAGAGCCACAGGTTCCCCAGGAGCTACCCCTGGGGGTAGGAACAAGCACACCCTGCCAGGCTTCTTTCTCTTTGGACATCCAGAAGGAACCAGGGTGAGGGTGAGGAGAATCCTCCCTGCACACCTCCTGTCAGCCACTCACTGCAGGCTCTGTCTGTGCGTAGCACTTTGGCCAAGCTGGGAGTCCTGAGCAGACCCCATGCCATCTTGCTTCAGGGTCTTACCATCTGTGGTGGTGCTTTGACCTGGGGAGCCCCACCCATCCCTTTTGTACTTGTCAAAACCTATCCCAAGGTCAAGGCCTCCCTCAGAGTAACATTTCCTTTATCACAACCTTCCCGATTTCTCCCTCTCTGTTCCAGTTCTTAAGTGTTAGGAGAGCCGTCGTTGTTGGCGGCCCTCCCCACGATCTGGGTGCTCTCCTGAGCCTCTTGGGGATTTATGAACTCTTTGAGGAGGAATCAAGGGTGTATGTGGAACACAAACTCAGGTCCAGGCCCCGCTCGCCTCAGCTTTGGAGTGTTTGGTGTGGAATCAGACATTTTTCATTGCACTATTTTTGTACAGCTTGAGGAATTTTCTAGTAGTCGTCATGTCGTAGTTGGACTCTCACTGTCATACCTGCTTTGGTAAGGTTACAGATGATTTCTCACTTCAAGCCCACCTTTGTGGATTGTAGCATTTCAGGGGTTAATGTTTCAGAATTACTTCTCATCCTGTAATTTTCTTAACTTTATCTTATTCCCCCCACACACAGGAAATGACTTAGAGGCCTTACAAATACATCTGCGAATTCTTGCTTCAGACTTTACAACTGAGGGCCAACCCAGTCTCAGAAGCACCTCTTATTACTGTTACAAGGAAACTGCTACCTCAGCAAACAGAAGGAAAGGAGGAGAAGATTTAGAATAACAAATGGCATTTTTAGGAAAAACACTTGTTTTCAGAAAACAGTAAAGGAAATTTGGAAATTTTTCGCATTGAGAAGAAGATTTGTGGGTGAATGGATTTGGCAGGCGGGCTCTGTCAAACTAATGCAGTGTTTGATCTTCCCTCCCAAGGACTTCGTGTGAAGTCACTGTACTGCTTTTTAAATCGCTGTTGATCAGCTTGTGGGTTTTGGGGCTCTAATTTTTCTGGTATACTGAAGATACATTATATTACATTTTTTAAAGTTAAGTTATTTTTCTGCCATTGTAAATACGAGTATCGAAATATTCTTTTGCAAAGCAATGATAGGTAAACATTTTTCTCCGCAAGCATATCTTTTTATTAAGAGAGTGGAATGCTAACAGTTCTTACACAGCATTTTGGACACACTTTTATTTTTTGGTCAGAGGTCCTCCCGCCTACCCTGAAAACATTCATCATCTAAACCTACTGTTCTCCCACCGACGTTGGATCACATGGGCTCCTGCCTCATGGAAATGCCTTTTTCAAAACTGAGATTTGCAGAACTTCACTATTTTTATACCTAGCTACGGTCTCGGGGGGAAAAAGAGGAATCCAAACCCTGCCCCACCTGTGGTCCCTGGGACAGCTCCCGCTCCCGCATGTATTGCTGCAGTGCCCAGGACAGTAAAATGGACTATAAGCGGCGCTTCCTGCTTGGCGGGTCCAAGCAGAAGGTGCAGCAGCACCAGCAGTACCCGCTGCCTGAGCTGGGCCGAGCACTGAGTGCTCCCCTGGCGTCGGCAGCCCCCGCGGCCCCCCTGGGCAGTCTGACCGCCGCAAGCAGCTGCCACCATGCCGTGCCCCACTCCACTCCCATCGCCGACATCCAGCAGGGCATCTCCAAGTACCTGGACGCCCTCAACGTCTTCTGCCGGGCCAGCACCTTCCTCACGGATCTTTTCAGCACTGTGTTCAGGAACTCGCACTACTCCAAGGCCGCCATGCAGCTTAAAGACGTGCAGGAGCACGTCATGGAAGCGGCCAGTCGGCTGACTTCTGCCATAAAGCCTGAGATCGCCAAGATGTTGATGGAACTCAGTGCCGGGGCGGCAAACTTTACAGACCAGAAGGAGTTCAGCCTCCAGGACATTGAGGTAGAGTATCTTGTCTGTGATACTTGGGTAGGAGAATGTGTCCCAGAGGTAAGTGAGAGTGTCGTCTTCATGGCTTCCCAAATGACCATAACTGATCTCCATCTTTCTGTTGTTACTCTGTCCTTGGTGAGAAGTGGGTGCGTGCCACGTTCTGAATTGCTCTCGACTCAAGTGGAGTAGGTTCAAAGATTGTGAAACAAACGAGCAAATCAGCTTGTACTTTATGTTCTTTACATTTTGAAAGTGAAACTTTATTTCCAAATAACATCCTGCTAAAAGTATCTAGTGGGCACTGAGATTTCGAAATATGATTATGAGCTTTGTGAATTGGCATTCTCTAGAACCACTGGTTTAATGTAGAAAGTTCACACATATTTACAGGATAAATTATATTTCCAGTTCTGCATTCACAGTCGTTCCCATTTGGTTGAGTCTGATTCTTCCTCAGTACATTTCTTAGGGTCTTTCATAATCAAAATGAAGTATCCTCCCTCTTTCAGGGCTCTAGGTTAGAATGTAAGATTAGAATATAGATTTTGTTCTGAATAAAGTTGACCTTTTTCCTTCCTTTGTTTAGGAAATCATTTATTCAACTGCCAGCTAATCTGCTGCTAGATTAGTGTCACTGGTGTAACTGCTAAATTTTAAAAATTATTGTTATCTTCTCAGAGAGTTCTTCTGAGTTTGATGTCTTGAGTCCTTGTACATTTTAGCAGCACGTCAGAGGTTAAGTTCCTGGATGCTAGGAGAGAATGTCTCTTTCCCATCCTGGAGCTGAATTTGATTTTAGGAAATCACGTCTGAGCCAACTCTGATGGCCTGGGTAGCTGAGCAAGCTAATTTATACTGCTGTGGGTTTAAGGGGGGGGAATAGGTAAGCTGTTAAGTAATATGACTAATTTTTATCATGTTTAAAAGTGATTTTGAAGGTATTTCCAAGAGAATTTAGAACTATATTCAAGGGGCACCTGGTTGGCTCAGTCAGTAGAGCATGTAGTTCTCCATCCCAAGGTCATGAGTTCAAGCCCAATGCTGGGCACAGAGCCTGCTTCAAAAAAAAAAAAAAAAAAAAAAAAGAACCATACTTGAAAAGACACAGTATTATTGGTGTAAATTGGGGATCATCAGCCTTTTTCTGTTTAGAACAAATAGTAAATTCTAGGAATTGTGGACCACATGTGGTCTCTCGTATCTTCTTCTTTTTTTAAAATAACCCTTTAAAAATGTAAAAACCAAGGGCGCCTGGGTGGCTCAGTGGGTTAAAGCCTCTGCCTTTGGTTCAGGTCATGATCCCAGGGTCCTGGGATCGAGCCCCGCATCCCATCCCACTCTCTGCTCAATGGGGAGTCTGCTTTCTCCTCTCTCTATGATGTCTGTCTGTCAAATAAATAAATTTTTAAAATCTTTACAAAAAAAAAAAAAAGTAAAAACCAGTCTTACCTTGTGGACCTGTTTGTTGAACTGGATTTGGCCCATGGGCTGTTGTTTGCTGAACCCGCTGGTAGAAATGTATAATAACCTCCTTGGGTCATTCTGTTTTGAATCTATCCCAAGTATATTTTAAATTTCTGATTATTTCTATTATCACATTTTATATTTAGAGAAATTACCATTTTGAAGTGCTTTTAAAATGGCTTGTGTAAAGTGTTTTTGGAGTTAACACATGTAAAGCATGCACAAAGCAAATTTTTTTTTATGCACTTCTCAAAAAAAATTCAAAGGGTGAAATGTGAAACTGCTGACTTTCTCTCCCATCTTGTCCTGTTTCCCAAAACTGCTGATTTACTTTCCCATCCCTTTCTGTTTCCCAGAAGTGGCAGCCGTTAGCTGGCCGGTGTGTGCCATCCCAGACTACCGTCTAGATAAACACGTGCGCATGCACAATGGACAGCTTTCGTTTCTGTTTGCTTTATGGAAAGGACTGCATTGTTCAGCCACCAGTGTGCCTGCCTGCTGCTTTGCAGAGATGTAGTAAGACAGCAGTTAGGGACTCTGCCCTCTCAGAAAGGGTTATAGGCTATTAGACCCAGCCTGTTAACAGCTCTCGTCCTGTCGTGATGTCAGCGCTTTCAGTTTTATTTAAAATTTCAAGCAAGAGTATTTGAAAAATAAGACTAAATGCTTTTATTTTAACCTGAACATCGTTGAGCTCTTTTTCAGGCCATGCCTCCAGGTGCTGGTGGAGACAGAGCTAGACATGCATGGCCTTTTGCACTCTCGCCCTGCCCGGCCAGCACCCTCATTCCCCAGGTTGGGACCACTAGAGCAGGATGAACCGACCCTGAGGACTGGGGGTTTTAGGAAGCCACTGGGCTGAAGTTGCCCCTCTCTTGGCCTTTCTGCTTTCTTGAGACCAGCATGGACTACTTGAGCTGAGAAGGAGAAATATTTCTAATTGATGTGGTTTGGAACTTTGACTTGGCTTTCGCCATTGAAATGTGATTAGGATAGCTGGAATACTACCATGTTTTTGTACATAATAGGCTAAACAGTCTTTGGAGGCTAGACTGGAAACTAAGTGCTTTGATGGATTTTAGAATCTATGGGTGTATTCTGAGTTTCAAACAGCTGACTTATAAGTAAATTCTAAAATGTGATTGCCAAGTGTAGGCCTGCTTGCCTTTTCCACAAAGCAGTGTTTGTTGTTTCTGGAATTTATGTGCTGCCGTGGGCCAATAAGGGTCTCACTCTTAGAATATTCACCAGTTCAGATGGAATGGCTGGCCATTTGGGTTTTTCCCTGTTGGTTTTTTTAGGTTTTTATCAGGAGGGCCCTGAGAGACTCTAACGTTCATCCCTGGGGCCTAACAATGCTGAACTTGACTGGCTAGTATGGACCTCTGCTGAGGAGCTTATCCAGGGCTGTGAGTGAGGAAAGCCCTGAACTCAGTGTTCAAATACGTGACTCCCCACCCCTTTTTTTTTTTTTTAAGATTTTATGTATTTATTAGAGAGAGAAAGAGAAAGAGCATGGGGCGCCTGGGTGGCTCAGTGGGTTGAAGCCTCTGCCTTCGGCTCAGGTGATGATACCAAGGTCCTGGGATCAAGCCCCGCATCGGGCTCTCTGCTCAGCAGGGAGCCTGCTTCCCTTCCTCTCTCTCCGCCTGCCTCTTTACCTGCTTGTGATCTCTGTCTGTCAAATAAATAAATAAAATCTTAAAAAAATAATACAGAATAACACTTAAAAAAAAGAGAGAAAGAGCAGAGCAGAGGGGAGGGGCAGAGGGAGAGGGAGAAGCAGACTCCCTGCTGAGCAGGGAGCCTGACATGGGGCTCAACCCCCAACCAGAGGTAGATGTTTAACCAACTGAGCCACCCAAGTGCCCCTCAAATGCTTGACCATTTTAAACCTAAAAGAAAGCACTGATCCTACCTCTGGTCGGGGAGGGGCCAAAGATGCTTTTCATGTTCCTTACTTACAGTCAGGTTTGGGATGTGCTTATTGATCCCAGTGCATATCTCTAGGAATTCCGGTTGCTCATTCCATGCTCTGGAAAAGGCAGGTGTACATGGGTCCTGTCTTGTCTGTACTTGTCAGTGACTTTGCCCCTTACCCTGCTGCTTCACCCTCACAATCTCACTGTTAAAATTAAACTTTGAGAGAGATGAGCTGTGACCATGGTTTTTCACTAGGTAACGGGCACCTATGACACTGTTACAGGACATGGAGTCAGAAGATCTGGGTTTAGAAAATGACTCTATACTTCTTACCATCTGTCTGGCCTTGAGCAAATCTCCCAACATCTCTAAGCCTCACTTTGCCCATCTATAAAATGGAATTATTGGGGCTCCTGACTGTCTCAGTTGGAAGAGCATAAGACTCTTGATCTTGGGATTGTGGGTTCGAGCCCCATGATGGGGTTAGATATTACTTTAAAAAAAATATTTAAGAAATGAAATAAAATCAGGCACCTGGGTGGCTCAGTCGGCTAAGTGTCTGCCGTCGGCTTAGGTCATGATCCCGGGGTTCTGGGATCCAGCCTGACATAGAGTTTCCTGCTTAGCAGAGAGGCTACTCCTCCTTCTTCCTCTGCCACTCCTGCTTGTGTGCATGCTCTCTCGCTCTCTCTCTCAAATAAACAAGTAAAATCTTCAAAAAATATATTAAATTAAATAAAAATAAAAATTAAATAAAATGGAATTGCCACCCACTGTCCAAGTTCTTGTGATAATCTGATGTGGTTAGTGTGTCTGAAAGGCTGTACCCAGTTAGTTGCCATCAACATTCTTACTGCTTCCAACATGGCTTGAAAGTGCTGTGAGCCCTTCTTTGAAGTACAGAGCACAATTATGTATAAACCCAACATCAGAGAGAGATGTTGAGCAAGTTATTTATTTATTTATTTATTTTTTAAGTGAGAGCGTGCTAGTGCAGGGTGGTGAGGGTCGGGCACAGAGGCGAGAATCTCAAGCAGACTCTGTGCTGAGCCCAGAGTGGGAGGCAGGGTTCAGTCTCACTTTTCTGAGTTCATGACCTCAGCTGAAATCAAGAGTCAGATGTCTAACCTCCTGAGGCACCCAGGCACCCCAGTAAATTATTCTTGTAACTGAAACCCTTTTAGGTGGAAAAAATTACCACTCCCAGAACATTTGCTCTGCTCGTTTCTTTCCTGGTTCTTGAAGTAGGCGCCTCCCTTGTAAGGCAGCAGCAGTATTTCCTGCCTAATGTAGGAACTGCCAGGGCCTTTTCATCATAAAAGCCAAGGGGACCTCTTTTACCAGCAGTCATTGCTGTTTGCCTTGTGCCTGGAATGGGACATCGGAGTAGGGAGTGGGGCATCCAGCAAATACACTTGGAGTAATGAAGAACCTTTGGGTAAGCCAGGTGACAGTTTATGTAGGATTTGTCCTACTCTGGATTTATAGAAAATATATGGGGGCATCTGGGTGGTGCAGTTAATGAAGCGTCTGAGTCTTGGTTTCTGCTTGGCTCATAATCCTGGGGTCCTGGGATCAAGCCCCACATCGGGCTTCACTCTCAGCACGGAATCTGCTGGAGA